TTGGAATATGTGTCCTCTCATTCTTGATTTCTTTATACACTATTCTCTTTTAGATTTGTCTGATTTTTAATAAGAAACACACTACTGCACTTACTGTATTGGGTAAGTTCTACAGTAAGAGAGAAATCATGGTAACGAAGAATACTGTAGTAGTGTATGTATATCAGAAGTCAAGTTTATAGCGTATTCGGTTTCTATAAGTAGTAGTGGATTTTCCTTCCTTGGCAGGGAACTAAGGAATATACTTTGTGCAATTTCCACATTTTCTCTCTCTTATCACTGTCATGTAATACATATCATCATCAACTGTAGCAGTCCTGATGACAGGATGTACCCAGGAGTGGGTGGGGTATTGGCCTTGGCGATCATTACAAGTACCGTAAAAACCTTTGCAATTGGCCATCGCAGAGAAAAAATATATTGTCACGAATGTGACTTGGCAAGGAAAAGGTTTTCACATGACTTATGATTATGAGTCATAGGTATGTTATTGCTTTATGCATATGACTTATTTGGGCCATATTACTTATTATGTTATGATTAGTTATGTTTCATACATGGCTCAAATATGAGTCATGGGACGTGCATCTGGCAAGTATGCTTTGCGAGTATTCCTTGTGGGTATGCCTTTCACATAAGATTTATGTTTCGCACATAACCTCGTTATGAGGTAATTTGTTTCGCATGTGTGACTACTTTGGGTCATATGACTTGTTTATTATGTTAGGATTGGTTTATTAGTTTTTGTACATGACCTTGCTATGAGGTCATGGGATTTGAGCATGTGGCCACTTTGGTCATATAACTAGTTTATTAGATTTGGTTTCACACATGTAACCACTTTGGATCATATGACTTAGGGCGGGAAGAACACTATATAAGGAGGCCGGTACGGCCAAGGAGGATAGGTTCTTCAAGCTTTGTTCTAAGTACTTTTCCTACTTATAACTTTAACGAATATAAAATACCTTTACGCTCTTTATTATCATGACATTTATTATTGTTATACAGAGAAAGTTCTTCATAGAGAAGAGTTAGAGAAAGCTTATGATAGGTGTTTCCGATAGAAGACAAAGATCTTGTACTATCGGTAACGTAGGCAGATGCCTAGTGCTATGGTAAGACAAAGAAAAAGAAGAAGACGGAAAGAGAAGTATTGTTCCCTGTCACCAAGAACTAGCTATCCAAAAAGGGATTGTTACAGATATCTTCAAAGAATAGTATATGAACAGGGCAGGGCTCAGTGAGCTATGACTCATACAGCCAAGTGATAATCTGTGATTTGGAAATTAGATTCCTGCTTTGTGTAATATAAAAGTGAACCTGTATATGAGAATAAAATTAGATAAATAATAGACTACCAAGATTCCAAAACAAGGGAGAATAATGAGTCTTAGCAGAATCTTCATGGCTCATATATAAAAAGTAATGTCATAAGATTTAGAGGTTTGAGAACTCCGGAAATTGTAATTAATTCAAAGGTTTTTATGACATGGAAGAGCGAAACTACATGAATCATAAAGTGTAAGTATTGAGATATCGATATAAGATTAGGGAAAATACTTGAAATACAAAATAGATAATATCAAGACTTATGGCAAGAATTCTAATCATACCTCGACTCCAATATGTGATTTAATACCTTCTTCAAAATACCTTCCAGACGAATTACTATTATGTGGCGAGAACCCAAAGCAAAGACAATTAGCCAATAGGTATTGAACCAGCAATATCGCAATCCCATTATTTAAGTAGAATGAGTGTACAGCCAATGTCAGAAAATTCAGGTTCTTACCTTTCTGAAGTATCACTGAATTCCTCTCCAGAAGTCCAGTCATCTCTAAAAGCCTACCCAGCAAGAAGCAGCCAAGCAATTCTAAATTACATAACGATCAATTAGCCACAGGGTTAGAAGCCAGAAAGGAATGGAAAAGCTGGGGATCAATACCAAAGGGAGAGATTCTAACCCAGAAATTGGGAACTATAGCCAATGCAAGTGGCCGGAGTTGGAAGAGAGGTTATATAGTAACTTTCTTAAGTGGCAAGTACAGGGGCGGATTGTGAGGAGGAGACCGTTTCAGATTCAAGCAGGATTTTAGTTCCTTGAACTGTATCCTGATAGCAATCCAGATATATTTCAATTCAATAATAGGTAGTTTATTGGCTTTCAAAGATAACATCATATTGGTCTCTGTAGTATCACAAAAAAAGCCCTAAAGATTTCTTTCCAGTATCAAACCTTAGTCCATAATTGACTTCTTTTTGAACTGCAGAATCTCCCAACCTCATCTCACGTTATTTCCTGATTGGGTACTTATACCACCTATTAGTCAGTTTTTGGAGTCCAACATCTGCAATCTCAATGAAACTCTGATTCCATTTAAGTATTTGGAAGGTAATACTTACGATCATATGGGAGAAGAAGCTATTTGGGCCAAGCTGTCACAAAATGGATGGGACAAGCATCAGGCTTCATTAGGTCTCTGCATTTTTACAGATGGAGAACCCCGTGTACAACTCATGTTTATTTTTCATGATAAAAGTAAGAGGCTAGGGCAGGAGCAGGAGAAGCATCATGCTGGAGTCGAGGTAGAATTCAATCTAAAGGCCTATCTGCATGATCAGCTCTTCTTGCATTATATTGATATCTACTTGATTCCGATACTTGGTTGATGGCCTACCTTTTTCACTATCGACTTAATAGGATCCCACGAAACCCCAACAGTGCTGGAGAAGTTGTGTCAGCATAATATCACCCCATCTCTTATTCCTGGTGGCTGGACTAGCCTACTACAACTCCTCGATATCTTGATCAACAAGCCATTTGAGGAAACCATATGTGAGGTTACCAATATTACAATCTTCAAGGTAGAATGCTCTGAGGCCTTTTACCGATGAAGTATTAGCCTATGCCGTATTCTTACCACCTTCTGTGTCAGGGATATCTATGTTAGGCAGAGATAACTTGATAGACTCCACAGTTATCTATGCCAACCGAGATGTCTTTCTGTAGATAGAGATTAGCTAGGAAGGCTTAGACTTCACTGGTTTCGTTTATGACTACTAAGAGCGAAGTATAGTAGATAAAGTAGAATTCAATTGTTAAGATAACATGATATTGTTAAGGTCTCTTCTTCATTGCTTGATGATGTCTCAAAGCTTGCGAGACACTTCAATATTTATATTTCGTATCTGAGTATTTACTGACTACATCTAACCATCATACAAACTTCGTACCTCTATCGATATATCTTACAGTGTCGGGTATTGCTCCAAGGTATGAACATCTAAGACTGTGAAAACCACCATATCCTGTTTGGTAATTATAATATTTGCCAACTCAACATTGTACTATTCCCAATAGTAATTACCTGATCATCAGAGTCTTTAGACCTGTAGTCCAGTCCTCAAGTCAAACTCTGTTGGCCCTAATTTTCTCTGTCATTGATGAAAAGATCAGTTTCATCTGGGGATTATATCTGTGGTGATAGTAGTAATTGCAACCTTCTCAGATTGCCTGACTTCAAACCTCCATAACTCCATATCCAACAGACAGATATCCTCCGAATGACTTCCTACTAGTTTGCAGGAAGCTGTTCTACTAGACTAATAGATAATCCCTCTGTCAGCAATACTGGATTGCTTTGGGTGGTTCTGTGAAGTTATGTATGCAACCTTCTTAGGTCGCTGACTTCAAAGCTCAATATCTTCTGAGCTAACAAATAGACTCTCATCCAGTAACTTCCCTCATATACGGGAGAAGCACTTCTACAGGATAGAAATATAATCCTTCTGTTGGAGGTCCTTGGTTGTTGTGCAGAGAGCCTCACAGTTGCAAGTGGTATTGGTAGAAAATCACTCAACATGAGAAATACCTATAACGACACTAGGGGTTGAACATGTGACCGTCAGTAAAGAGTCACATGATATTCCAATTGAGCTATGGACATGCAGGTCCCGTAGGGGGGCCGGAGGGGCATGGTGGAGACAAGAGATTCTGATTCCGAGTGTGATTACCCTACTTAGAGTGGTTCCTTGGTAACGGATCCCAGAATTCCTAACAACCTACTGCGGATTTTACATTGAAAAACGTGATTTAATTGGTCGAGTATTCAGGAAGGTTGGGCTTTCCCTCACAGTGGATGGGAGTTGTGATTCTCCACTAGATATAAAGGGCTTTGCTTGGTTGGAAATTAGTGATTGGAGAATTGATTCTGAAGAAGTGAATGCAATGGCTGACATTCCTGTAGATAATAATAATGATAATACTATCGAATTTGTTTAATTTATTTTATTTATTTAATTTATCATATTCTTCAAACATGTATTAAGTCTATCTGTAAATAAAAAAGAAAATACATGTCTTATTTGTCACCGCTAATCACAGACTCAAGGGGGAAAGCAGGTACCTCAGTAGCATATTTGGCCACTTGGCACAAATTACCGAGATTGCCAATCGCAAAAGTTTTTACCATATGGTACTCATATAGTACAAAAGGCACCTGCCCTCCCACCCCTTCCTCTCCACAGCACAAACCTGCGGCAACTCTGCCTGGAAGAATTACTCTCTATTTGCAAGTACGTACTTGGACCATCTCGTTATACATACCTTGACCTTCTTCTTTCTTTCCTTCTTTCCCAGTTCGCTCGTTATCTACTAGCGATGCCGTCTCTACTCTCTCCTTTCTTTTCAGAAATAATCCCCAGCAAGCCCTTTTCCCTTTCCTTTCCTTTGCGTTTTTTCTCTTTTTTATTTTTATTTTTTGATCTATCCCCATTACCAAGCCCCTTTTTTCTTTTTTCTTCTCTTTTTTTTCTACTTTTTTTTTTTTTTCTTTTTAATCTATCCTCATTACCAAGCCCCTTTTTTCGTTTTTTTTCTCTTTTTTTTTCTTCTTTTTTTTTGATCTCTGCTCATTACCAAGCAAGTCCCTTTTTTCTGTTTTCTTCTTGGTTTTTTTTGTTTTTTGATCCGTTCTCGTTACTGACTGTTCCTCCCCACCAGTGACTCAGACTCTTAACCCCTTCAACCACGATGATGAGTTCTTCGAGAGGTGCCTAAGACTCTCCACGCAGCTCGACATCCCATCGCCCATCACACAAGACCCGACTCCTGTCCCACCTGCTGCCTCCATGTTCAACAAGCCAAATAGGCTCAACGGGGGCGGCCTTATCACTAACTCGTCCCGTCTTATCAACAGCTACCCCGCCGCATACAAAGATTTCTTTGGCACACCCAGCGGGGCTCCCTGCATTTACAAGTCCGGTCCTGCTTGGCCGGAGCGTAAGGGTCCCGAAGCATACCGCTACATCCGCGAACCACGCCCTGTATATGGTCACCCCATCGCTCAAGACTGGCTCAAGATCGGTACCGACATCTACCAGGCCCTTGATGCTCTCAGTGTCAAGTGGACCTCAATCGATCCTGTCGCCTTCGCCGACGCGGGAGAGAAGACGGCATTTTGCCCGCTCCTGATGTGGATCGGTGTGAAGCATGAGATGCTCGCATTTGAGGCTGCAGTAACTGCTGCCGACGCCGTCAAGGATATCCTCCGTCAAGCAGGCTTCCCCAATATTGAGGTGGCCTTCCGTGAGTCGGAGGTGACGCGCTCTGTGGGCGGCCCTAAGCTCCTCTCCTTCAACCCCCTCCTCGACCCCATCCCTGAGTTCCGCAAGGCCTTCACGCCCACACTTGGCCTCTCCGTCGCCCCGCTCAGGACGCCCCACTACGAGGGCACTGGTGCGCTCTACTTCCGCCTCGGCCGTGACGATGACCGTGTCGCCCTTCTCACCACTGCCCACATCGCTTGCCCGCCTCCTGAGTTTGCCAACACTAGCATGTCACACGAGAATACCAGCCAGCCCAGAGAGGAGATCGTCGCGCTGGGCAGCATGGGCTATCAGAATGCGACAAACACCATGATAGATGCCATCGGTAGCCTCACTTGCTCCATCTCCATATGGAAGAGGGTCATCGAGAGACTGGGTGATCCCGTCGACGGCGAGAAGTCTGCCATCACCTGGAAGCGCCGGCAGACCCAGCACGACGTGGAAAAGGCAACCAAGATGATCGGCTACTTGAACGAGCTCTATCATGAGGTTACCAAGCTCCGGACGAACCCAGACCAGCGCGTCATCGGCTGCGTCCTCCACGCAGAGCCAATCGTGATCTCCAACGGATCCCACAGGTTTACCTGCGACTGGGCATTTGTCCAGCTCTACAAGGAGAAGATAGACTGGGCCACCTTTCCAGGAAACAAGGTCTTCATCGGTACGTTTCTTCCCCACCCCCCCTCGGCGCCGCTGTTTCCGTTTCCATTTCTTTTTTGCCTGACTAGTATGATCCCCCAGGTGGGAATCTCTCGCTGTCCGACTTCGGCCAGTTCATGTTCCCGCATCCTGAGGACCAGGCAGACTACGAGTACCCTGACGACGGGCTCCTACAGGCCTTTGGAGTTGTCAAGGACCACGAGATTCGCCAGCCACAGCACCTTGACATGTACGGCCAAAGGATACTGATGGTTGTGAAGAATGGTCTGGCTACAGGTACTACTATCGGCTGTGCCAATGGACTGGACTCGTTCACTCGCGTCTACAGCCATTATGACATCATGGGCACGTCCGTCCAGACCGCAATCCTTCCCTACAATCAGCAGCTCGGCCCCTTCTCAGCCCCTGGAGATTCAGGCTCCATCATTCTCGACAGGTCTGGCCGCATTGTCGCTTTGCTCACAGCTGGAGCTGGTTCGACTAACGAGATGGACATAACCTATGGGACTCCATACTGGTGGCTCGAGGAGCGGGTTAAGAAGGCATTCCCCGGATGCTTCCTCTATGAGGTTGCTGGCTAGATTGGTGCAATTATTCTTTTCCTCTTTCCTTTCACTCATATGGTGCCGGGCAGACAAAACTAATGCACTGTCAGTTTTGTTGCAAAACCTGTACATAATGAATCAACATACTTCCTTGGGAAACCACCCATCCCTGTGAAACCACCCAAATGCTATCCAAGTAAAAATGCTACTCATACATACAAGTGCTAAATGAGCAGGTTAGTATTCGTAGAGCTCACATCCTTGGCCTTACAAAGGCAGGAGAGGTGTATGCATAGGACAATGGTCCGCAATTCTGATTTTAGAGGTATGCTAGTGGGAGACATCACCTTACTGAGTTGCTGCTTGTCAGGTGTCCCTCCTCCAGCGCTACCTCCTTATATCAACCTTTTACAATTAACCAAGACAGCAGTGTTTAGGTATTGGGCCTCAGTATGGCCAATTGGAGATATACAAATGCCAGCATTCGGGCGAGGAAAGAGTTCTGATTCCGATTCCCACTGTCATCCAGGATCATATAGAGTACATGCTCATTCTCACATCTGCTGGAGACCACCGCACACACCACCTAGCATGACGGGGGTGGAGACAGGTTGGCTGCTCTCTTGGAGGTTGACCTGGTTCTCTCATGTTAGAGTCTCCCAGGGGTCTGCCAGAAGGCAGGGCGGCGAGGGTGCTTGAGGAGGTGGTCAGTGACGAGAGCAGCTGTACAGGCGATGGGGGTTATGGGGAGGTTGTTGGAATGTGACAAAACCAATGTCGCCGATCGTGTTGAGACTGGGCTCTTTGGACTGGCCTCGATGTACTCTACACATAATGGCTGATGATAGCAATACATCTTGTATAAGAACCGTACTTTTTATGGTACATACCTCACATGACTACCCTCTTGAATGGTCAGGGCAGATCACCTGCAGGCTGGTAGATGTCAGATATCTTGCGCTACTCGCTAAACCATTTGCAATACCAGAATAATATTATAGAAGGTATAAACCCGTATGTTAGGAATACCGAGATCCGATACCTAGGAACCACCCTAGGTAGGGTAAACTCTCCCGAAATCGAAATCTCAGGTCTCCAACACCCCCCTCCGGCCCCCTGACGGGGCCCGCGCGTCATCATACATATCGATCTAAGTTGCGTCCTGTGAGTATTATACCACAGAATCGAAGGTGTTAAAATAACACGGTATACGTCGCCGCCGTCCGTCCGACCGGATCCTGTTCGCAGGATATATAAGGGGGGACCTTCGGCTAGGTCTGGGAAGTATAACGGAGTGAATCCGTCAACTACCCAGAAAGTTACTAGGCTTCAAGAACGAGATATCTTCGGCATAGGCCGTAAGTAACGGGACATTTTTGCGCAAAAAGATGATGATGAATAGTAAAGGATCTTAATGAAAGACCAATACATTCACATCTACCCTACGATAACCAGAAGAGTCTGCAACTCCTGAGAATACTACCATCGAACCCAATGAAGTTCGAGGAGTGTTACAACTAGGTTCCGGTACATACTGCAACCGAAGGGGTGACTCCCAAACCGGTAACAGTAACCAGAATCCTATTACCCACGGCAACCAAGGGTTACCGACCAAGGGATTATCTACCAATCCTATGAAAAGGCTTCCTGCAGGCAAGTAGGAAGTCCTCCGGAAAAGACCTATCGGTTGGGTATGGAGTTATGAAGAGTTGAAGTTAGATGACCTAGAAAGTCGGTAATAACAACTATCTTCACAGATGCAACCCGCAGACGAAACTGATCATTTCGTCGACAAGGGAGACGATTGGAGCCAATACAGTTCGACTTGAGAATTGGGCCATTTGTCTAAAAAGACTCTCACCATCGGATAATTACTATTGGAAACAGCATGACTTCCAAAATGTCATATTATAATTATCAAAGAGGGTGTGATGATTTTCAGGGTCTCCAGGTGTTCGCACCTTGGAAGAAAACCCGACGTTGCGAGTTATATTGGAAAAAGGTACATGGTTGTATATTAGTTAGATGTAGTCCGCGAACACTCAGACGCGGAATATAAATATCGAAGTGCCTCCCAAGCTTTAGACATCATCAAGCAACGGAGAAGAGACCTTAACAATATAATATTGTTCTTACGATTTTACTTTACTTTACCCTACTTTACTTCGCTCTTAGTAGTCATAAACGAAACGAGTGAAGTCCGAGCCTTCCTAGACAATCTCCGTCTATAAAAACGAATCTCGATCGGCCTAGACAACTCTGAAGTCTATCAGGTTGTCTCCGCCTAACACCGTACCAGGAGTATATATTGGAACGGGGAGTTTCAGTAATGAATCCCTGCTCTGCATATTGCTCGAACCTTCTTTACAACCCCCCTCCCTTATGACTCATGTACTGATACCTGTCCAAGATTATTAAACCAAAGAGAGTATCAGGTCATGCAATATCAGGTATAGCAGTTAGCCATGTATTGCAGAATTTTAATCAAATGGCGGTAAATACTACTAGACTAATTTTGTTAGCATTACCATTTTGCAGTTTTCGCGACTAATCGCTCACTCCAGTACCTCCTGCTAGACATGCAAGAGAAGCATATAGCGCAGGAGAACGTGTCAAATCTGACGTGAGTGGGGCTGCAAGTGTTAAAGACACAAATATTTGATTTTATTTGACTAATGCACGTGCCCTAATACTGTCATATTGTTCTCTGATGTCTCTCATGGTCCTATATACCAGGTGGACAACTAGTATCCCAATTCCTGATTCATGTATCCTGCACCCCCCGCCTCCCTGCCACTTACAAATATCAGGTATTACCCGCCAAATATGTAGTTGTGATTCTATGAAAGAAAAATTATTTCAGAGTCTATCCCCCCTAGACAAAGGGTATAGCAAAAAGAACCCTATTGATATGGAAACAGTGGAGCAATTTCTTCGCCTGCTGCTATAATACATGGTTGGCAAAAAAGAAGCCCATGTGGTATCGATGCAAGAAGGCTCAGAAGGCAAGGCGGTAAGGGAATGAATAAGGAGAGTTAGGAAGACACTGGATGGGGAGGATCCAAGAAGTCCCTAATCAGGAAATAAGTAATGAGAAGATGTAGACTTGTAATAGAAAAATTGAAGGTAAAATGAAATTAGAAACTAGAAGTAGTATGAAAAGTGGCAATAAAACAAACATTATAATATAATTGAATACCCTCCAAATGTAAATAAAATTAAACCAATCGTGACATTATTGTCTCTACCCAGGTGTGCCCCCACGCTCTCCAACGGTTAGCTGTGTCCCATAGGTCCTGGGAGCAAGGAAAGCTTAAAGGGGCACCATTACGTCTATCAAAAAGCACATGAATACTCTGAATTAGATCCTGTCACGTTCTGCCTTGTTCCTCCTACCTCTCCGGGATCATGGGAGCCATGGCCTTTAATGTGCTGGCATCTGTAATCAGGTCAATGGCATTTATGGTGAGGTTATTGATTCTGTCTTTTAGTACTAGATTGTGTTTGCACTATCCTTCTATATGTACCATAATGGTGCTTCAAATAAATAGAGAAACTGTGCGGCAGATCTTTACACCTATTGAGGTATGAAAATATCATCCCTATCACTCATAAGGTTCTGATGTTTGTGAACACAACTGCTATTACATATAACTAATATCAAACTAGGAACATTGTCCAAACCCAGACTACACAATACAAGACTTGTTAGCGACAGCAGAACTGGACAATCGGACCTGTTTGGCACCTGCAGTACCAGAAAAATGCCCAGCTGGTACACTGGAATCCAATCGAATGGGTGCTCTTGCTACCCAAGACATAAAACATCGACTATTGACCTTTCTGGAAATTGTACAAGAGGTCAGAGTTGTTATCTCGTAAGTAACAGTCTACTCTATGATGAATCGGCATCATAATTTGTTTCTCTACAAACACTGCTTAAAGCTACCCCTAGATCTTGCTGGCAAGTTAGTCTGATTGGAATTGATTGAGTGGGGTCTTGCTCAACCAATTGAGTCTATTGTCTTCTGTGATGTAATGATTTTTGAGGTGGGAGCTCCATGAAGACTTCGGAATATCACAAGACAGAAAGGTGAAAATCCCTCTGCTTGTGCAGTACCAGAGAAGACAAAATCAGAGTTAAGTATTATAGTTTCATGCAGTATTAAACTAGGGTTTAAAGGTCTGCTATAAGTATGGATCAAGGAAATACCTGAAGAGCGTTATACGAATAATCAAGAGCTTAGAAGGGAAAATCAAGAGAAAGCAGGTCAGATTGCACAATATAGACTTAATGCAACAATTCCAGGCACTAAAGATCTCAGGTACCTGGAGGCATTGAATGGTAACATCCCACTTTATAATGCCAACCAAGCTCTAGATCAGCCATGATGTATGCTTCGATGCCCATATTGGGAATTTGTTGAAGAGATACAAGGTAGCCATAGCGGTGGAGAGTTGGATTGGTTTTTATATCGGAAGCAAATTCTTCATGAGTATCTTTATTCATTTGTTCAATATATTCAAATCACAACTGGCCGGTACTGTTGTGTAGTGGAGGGTAATGCAGGTAATCACATTGTAGCAGCAAGGATAGATCAAGAGGAAGCTATCACTGGAGGTATACATTGAATTCCCCAGTGGCCTCCGAACTCACCTGACTTAAATGAGATCAAACCTTGTTGAAACTATCTAAAAGATAAGATGATAGAATATGGCTTTACTAGTACTAGTGAAAGGACAAAACAAGAGGTGGTAAATACACTTAGATATGAGTGGAATTGCATGCCTCAGGAGTTAGTTGATTGCTTTTGTATGAATTTTCACCTTAATCTCTTGCAGCTTCAGGCATGGGGAGGAGATAATAGATTTAATGCATAATTTGTCGGGGCAGCTTGCACTACATGTCACAGTATCATTCTTCTAATAGTTAGATCCTTATACCAGTTGCACACTATTGAGAAACCATACCTCTTTTGTGGAAAAGAACTTGCGCGACCTACTAGGACAAATGGGGTGCCAAATCTTGGCTGAGACGCACGAGTAGTATAGTATCATACCGCGCATGCAAAAACAAAACCCACCCACTTGGTAAACCAACTAACCGCCCACCCACGCAACACGCCCAGAAGCACGTCACGTCGCGTCTTCCTGCCCTGTGACAAATCCCAGAGCGAAAGCCAAAGTCGCTCTCCGCTCCTCCCTCCCGCATCCACCACCATATCCCGCACAAAACATACACACCATGGAGCCCCTCCCAAAGCTAACTGAGGGCAGATCTGTAATCTCTTCATATCCAGATCTCCTCTCGACCCTGACAGACTTCCTAACAGTCTGCATCCACACGATCCTCTACTACCGCAACATCTACCCACCCGAACTCTACATCAAAGCGCGCAAGTACAGCTTCCCCGTGTACCAGTCCCGCCACGAGCGCGTTTGTAAGTGGATTGCGGATGCGGTTGGGGCTGTTGCTGGAGAGATTGCGAAGGTAAGGTTGGATTTGAATTTACTCGGGTTCCCAGCAAGTGGGCTTATTGGTGGAGGGGGAATTAGGGCAATGTATCAAAAGTCAGCCTAATTCTAATTTCCCCGAGAAACGTTCCATTGGAGAGATACGTTTTCGACCTTAGCGTGTTCCCGAATGTTCCGTTTGAGGGTGGGTATAATGATTTGCTCCTGCAGCAGTTGGCAGAGGTTGGAGGGAGAGGAGGGGAATCAGGAGGGGAAAGGAAGAGATTGGACGAAATTACGATTGCGGGGTTGGAGGCACAGTTTAGGGCCTGTCTGATGAAGCTTTCCATCGCTGCTCCAGACCTGGGTAGGTTACCTGAAGACTGCACGTACACTGTGGCGGTAGAGATGAAGGAGCCGGGAGCGCCGATAAATGTGGGACCCCCCCTCCGCCCTCCCCCCCACCATCGGTGGCAAACTTTTTTTTGTCGTACTTTTTCTTTTTTTCTTCTCTCTCCTCTTGCTGACATCCGAAAAGTACGCTGAAGTCTGGGTTCCCGCCGAAGGGCAGGGTAGTGACGGGGCTGGTATTAGGCATGGCGGCGGGACCAGATCTACTGGTATCAGAACAGTGGAAGCGGGCTCGATTTGCCTTGAATTTTCAATAGAAGAGACAACCACTAAAACAAAAATGGCCCTTGAGCAGTAGCAAAATTCAATGGAGTTGGCCGTGCAAACAATGAAGAAAAGAAATTATATGCATTGAAATAAAAATAAAAACACCGTTTATCTTGAAAACCCTAGGCCAATTGAGGAAAATGGAAAAAAACGAATTGTGAAATAGGGGGGAAAAAAAACATCCGGCTGTGACGCCTCTATAATGTGTGCGCTGCGACTGATATCGAAGGAGATCACAAACATCTATGTACCGTATCGCAGATCCCTATCCCAAACCCATGGTCTTTTTCGAGTTTTCGTAAACAAGGTACGACTGAGAACGTGTTAGTAACGAAATGGCAGTATCGAAATTGCGGTGGATAGGGAAAATGAAAATCTTACAATTGAAACTGCAGGTACGACTTTCAGCAAATTCGGAGTGAGACCCCTGAACATCCCCCGGAAGCCCTCCGCGCTATATGTCTTTACCGCAACGTCCCACATACCGGTGTACGTCTGTGGGTGTTGCGCTGTCCCCTGCGCTTGCAGTCTCGTCCTTAACACATTAATGGGATATACCATAGTAGCCCCCACGCTACCACTGGTAGCACCGATTCCTAGAACCACCCAATTCGGCACCTCCACGTCTTTCTCGTCGCATTTTAACTTTTTGGCTTTTCGTGCCGTGTATGACCTCTTCATATACTCGAATGTGCCCAGATCAATGGCCGAGTAAGGGAATATCCCGATTAAAGCAAGTGGAAGGCCCTTGTAAAATGCTTGAGGTCCGCCGTTACTCCAGGTCTTTCGGAATGTCTCAAGAATAAGCTTATTCCCGGTAGATCCATTTTCAACCAATTCACATTGCATTCGGAATTTCAGAGTGTCAATGGGATATATGGAAAATCTGGACCATTAGTTAAAGTTGATATTTCAGCTTCGAGATGATGCTGGCATACTGAGAGACAACACCACCGATACCGCCGGCCAAGAATCTAGAAATTGGTGATATATTTGATGCATCATTGGTTCCCTCGAGTCTACTGAGTGCTCGTTTCGCAGCCTTGTTCGTGTTAGGGAAGCGTCTAGTTGATTATGCAAAGTGCGAGCCTACCTCAAACGAACCAAACTTGATTGCAGACTCGGGCAGGATCTTTACAACGTTCAATCCGTTGCCTGTCCACGTTAGAAAATCCCCTCAAATTTTAGGGTTGTGCTGCCCCACCCGCAAAGAAGGACCTAACTCCGCCCGCTCTCCACAAAGCCCGGATAGAATCCTTGATTGGTCCTGCAGCTTTTTTTGCAGCCTGGACAGCTTCACCTTGCGTCACAGCCTCGATCGCTTTCTTCGCTGTTGAATTGCCAGTCTGCGCAATCAAGTAAACCTTTATACGATCAAATGGCGCCGTGGCAGTTCTCGAAATTGCGCCTGCAATACCGCCTGCAAGAAAGTAGCCTGCCCAATCATTGACATCAGTATATTCCTCCTGAAGGCGCCTACAAACCGGGCCAAACATGCGGGGGCTGTGATGGGGTAACCTGAGATATTGAGGGTAAGATCGGAAGAATCGAAACCGGATTTACCTAGTCCTAAGTGATTTATCTCATCACTAAGACTCACATCACCTTCCGGGTTAACGTTCACGGTGGAAAGGTAGTAGGAGTAAATCGTTTTTAAGGAGGCCTCATGTGGCATGAACATGAGGAAATCTCTTGAGCTCGTCAGTATCACTCTGGATATACCAATTACCGTGAAAAGCATATAGTTTTGTTCGATTCCCACGATCATACCTCCATTCCTCATAACATATCACACCGTCGTTATTCCTGTCCATCGAATCAAAGAACTCCTGCAGCCGTTTTGTATCTACCACTAGGCCGGCACGGCTAAGCGCGATTCGTAGTTCTGCTTTATCAATATTTCCATTCCTATCCAGGTCGACAGAAGTGAAGATGTGCCATAATTCCCGATCAGCACTCTCAAAGAAGTGCTTGAATTCTGAATACTGAATGAGGCCGTCCTTAGATGTATCGACGGCTTCCAGGATATCGTGTAATAGGTGTTCCGCGTCCTTCAGAGCTGTCACAAGTCGACAATGATTCAGAAAATGGATCGTTTATACCGTGGGGGCTCTCGTTCAAAGGTGCTTAAGGGAATGGTCAAGGGGAACTAGGTGATTAAACTCACGATGGTTGATCCTCTTGAGACCCCGCCTCAATCCCTCTAGGTCTAAATGACCCTCGCTGCGTGTATCCAGGCTCTTGAAGAGCTTCAGTAAGCGCTCATCGCGAGCCTTTTGGCTCTCTCGCTCGTTCATGTATGGAGCGTTTTTTTCTTCCTCTCCTTTATTCCTTTCTTATCCGGTCTAGTAATGAGGGGCTGTAAGTTATTGCGGTTACCGTTAAATTATCGTGAAACTTCTACGAAGAGATTAGGAAAGCCAAGCAAACAAACAAGAGAGAAATTCAAGATTTTTTTTTTTTTCCATCTGAAGGGGGTCCCGATCTCCACGTGTTTATTGGTGGATGAACCGGGATGAGGGTGGATCAGAAGTGAGGTCACAGGGCTGTCTGTGATTCGAGTCTACTCTATTGGTTCTTGTCAGGCTTTGCAAAAGCGGTAAATTAAAATTTAATGTTGTTTTATTGGGACTTGCCAAGCCCCGTTGCGGCAGAGATGGACACGATGGCTCTCATCTGGCCCATCCGCGGACCAGCCAAAACCGGAGGCAAAGCGTTCCAAGATCCAACCTCAAAAGCGGCGAGCCAGTGATTTCTCCGATCACCCCTCGTCCCACCGGACCTTCGAGAATCGGGACCAGATAATCTTTCTGTCACACCTCCGCCCCTTCCGCCCGCCTGCCGTCCAAGAATCTACACAGCCTCCCTCGCTTGCTTGCTTGAGCCTCAACTGATTCGCAATCAACACTTCTGCCCTTGCCTTGCTATCTCGATCGCTGCCCTTGCGAGTGAAGGAGAACCGGAATCCTGAGCTGCCCGATGAGCGTTTACACGACAGCTTCGCCGCTTTTGAGTCGTCTTTCCCAGCTCTCGAAACTCAACTCGGCTCGACTCAACCACCACTTACGTACTTAGCGAGGGAGGAATCGAAGGAGAAAACAAAAAAAAACTAAAACTAAAACTGGATCCGTCATTATTTCCTCGCGGTAGGAACAAGCAGCACACCGAAGCAAAGCAACAGCGATTGTCCTGAAGAAAACACCGTCGCAGTGCGTACGTACAATAAAACCCACACATCTTGCGTTGGTTATTCTTACGTGCACGTCATGGCGGCAAACTACTGGGCTTCATCGCAGCGTCTGCATTGGCAAATGTCTCGACAGCGACTGGCTGAGATCAGGAGCGCTCTCGAAGCTCAAGATCCGAAGACGGTTCAACAATATCCTTTGCCTGAATTGAGGCATCTGAGCATATACTTCAATTCTCGTTCGTTCCCTCTTCCATTCAAAAAGAAAGAAAGAAAAATAAAATAAAATGCTTGTTCTTGCTTCTTTTGCTTGCTCACTGGAAAAAAAAAATGGACCATGCTTTGTACGAAACAGAGATAGTTCGTCTTGGTCGGCGCATGCAGACGAGACAACAGGCACTGGCAACCGCCCAATTATATATTCGACGATTTTACGCAAAGGTCCCTATACGTGATACGAACCCTTACTTAGTGATGGCAACATGCTTGTATCTCGCGTTGAAGATGGAGGAGTGTCCCCAGCACATCAGGATCGTTGTCAGTGAGGCGCGAACTTGCTGGCCCGGTAAGCTTCACCCTACCAGTCCTCTAATCGGCAGTGGTCCCCCCTTTCTAAACCTTGTTCCCCGCATGCCCAACAGATGTAATGCCCTCCGATACAGCGAAGCTCGCTGAATGCGAGTTTTACCTCATATCTGAAATGAATTCGTATCTGATAGTTCATCACCCATACCGGACCCTTCAGGACCTTACACCTGTTCTATCGTTGACAAGTGAAGAGAACAGCACTTCCTGGCAGGTTATCAACGACTCCTGTCTTACCGACCTTCCACTATTATACCCTCCACATATAATTGCGTTGACCGCGATCTTTCTTTCGGTTGTACTGAAGACATCGCTACCACAGGCAAGCATACACGCCGCAGCATCATCAGCTACCGTTGCTACAACCGCAGCCGCGGCGGCGACCTCTGGTAATAGCGGGGGAAATAGTGGCGGTGGTGGTGGCGGCGGTGGTGTTTATGGCGCGAGCGGTCAGGGACCCCAGGTTCGGATCGGAAAATTGATAGAGTGGTATGCTGAGTCGAAAGTCGATATGGAGGCCATCATCGACTGTACCCAGGATATCATATCGCTTTATGAGGCGTGGGAGTCGTTCACGCCATCTGCGGAGAAGAATTGCAAAGATCAACTTTGCCGGATGATAAAAGCGAGGGGTATTGTGTAGCGCAGCCGTATGAGAGGGATCTCTTTGGCTAAATTTTTCTATAAATCTTATTTTCCTGTCATTTTCTGAGATTTTTTTGTAATTTCCTTTTTAATATATATCCCTTCCTTTTTAGCTCTTGGTTGGAATGAGAGTTAGGTTTAGGGCAGACAGACACGTTGCTGTGAGCCGGGACGGATGGTGCATTCTTCTAGATGTTTCGTGACTTTGATCGGAAATCCGGCAGCAGCCGCAGAGAAATGAGTGGCATATCCCCAAAAACCAGGAAAAGATGCCCCATGTCTAAAATGGACAGAACGCCTAAACCAGACAGGGTTTAAAAGAAATAGGACAGCTCTATGAGGAAGAGGGTCCTTGTGACGTTCTTGATGTTGTTCGGAGCTCTATCCGCAGACCTTCCTTAGCCCCCTTCTTCTGCATCTTGATGTTGGGAAGCAGTGCTTACAGCAGCAGCAATCCTTTGGAGTTAGCTTTACGCTTTTCCTTTGTTCCTGGGGACACGAACACGTCAAGCTGGGCCAGGCCAAATGATCAAGCCAGGTCGATTGATTGGCAGCCAGTGAGAGGGAGAGACCTTGATACCCGATCGGTTCGTGCATAATCCGTCGAGGCTGAATGAATGGTCACCCACCTTCGAGGACTGACCGGGGACAATCGTGGTCTAACCGCTTTCCGCAATTCTCGTCTACCCGAACAGAGCAAGTGGACTGGGAAGCGCGAAGACCGAAATTAAAAAATGATGCATGCGACAATGCGCACGGCAAACTGGCTGCAGAGAGCAACGATGGCGAGACCCGTCTCCAGTTGCCAGCGCTCTGACTGGCTGGATGGGATCAACATTCCCCTGCTGACCCTCTTAAAACATAAGAATCTTACCAAAACCCACCGGTACCCCATCACCCACCAAATCCTACCACCACCACCCCAAAGGTTCACCACACACAGACACCCCTTCTTTCCCCAACCGTTGTTTTCTGCGTCGAGGGTGGGTGGCATTGAATTTAGAGAGGCCAGAGAAGGAGGGTGGGGCTTGCCTTGGGCGCAGCAAAAATCGACGAGCCAACCAGGCCTCGGACTGACATTGACAACCCTTGTTCCTGGTGTTGGATTCTCTCTCTGTGTCCCTCTATGAGGCATGCCAGTGGCGGGATATTGATAGCCTGGATGCCTTTTTTTTTTATTGTTTTTCTTTTTTTTCCTTTTTTTTCCTTTTCGCTGTTTTGTATGAATGTACCGAGTACGACCAGCGCTTGCAGACCTATTCCCAGAACAGTATCCGACCCACTTCCTCTCCCTCGCAGGCATGTCGCCACCCCTTTTTTATTCTTTCCACCCCTGACCACCCCCCTGCACTATCCATCATATTTTCCACCACTCAGACAACAGACGTACACACACTTTTCTTGCTCCCACACACACCCCAAGTCCGCAGTGCTCGCTCTCTTCCCTCCCTCTCTCTTTCTCTGCCTGTGCTCCCATACCGGTGTGCTTCCTGTATTCCCCCAAAGCCTCTCTTCCTCTGATCCTGCTCTGCTTATCCTTCCCCCCCCCCTCACCACATTCTCAAACTCAAACCTCCAGTCCGCCACAGCCTTCTCTCCTCTTATTTCTTCTACCCCCTCCCGCACCCCTCTTCATCCATATTCAAAAGCACACGAGCCATCCAAGCAAAGTTTCCATTATCGATACGATCCGGTGTTGTCCTGTTGTCTGTTTGTCTGTTTGTTATAATCTAATCATCGCCACCCTCCTTCATCCGTCTTTCCTACTCCCATCATCTCACCTTGCCTTGCATCGGGTCGTCCTTAAACCCAAAAACTCCAACGCCAGCAAAAAAAAACAAACCCACACAACACATTCACTTTTCAACCCACTCCTCGGACAGCTTTTCCAGGCGATAGCATCAACCTTCCCCTAATAACATATCACATACCACCCCTACTACGCAATGTCTTTCGGTTACCCCTACTTACTGAATCCAGGATAAATCTCCTCCGGCAACCGCTCTCCTACGAACCCTCACCGTCCTTCTTCTACTCCGACCTTTCTCA